TGTCATCACCTCTAAATCTTACCTTTCCTGTCGAAAACTTCCTCTCTATTTTTTGTCTCTAGGCCCAAGGTCCCCCGGTAAAACAGGAACAAAATATCTATTTTTCTCACGCTCTGAAACAATAGAGTAATCGCGAATTGTTTCTGATGAGAGTTACAATGATCATGAACTCGAGGTCAAGATGGTCATCACAGAAACAACTTTATTTCAATAATTTATTTTGTTTATAGATTTCTTCATCTACTACTTTCTATGAAGGGGAGGGGTGGATTGGTTTATTCATGATATTTTTAAAATTCTGCCATTCTGCCGTAAACATAAACTGCTCCCGAAAAGCATACAATCAATAATACATTGCTATGACATAAGATATGTAGGTTCTGGTGGGGTTATGTTATTGACAGTCCTATCTTTCTTCAATCTCTTCTCTTTCAATAAAAAACCAGTACGCTTTTTGTAAAGTTTACTTGTAAACAGTTGGTGGGGTATTAGAGTGCTATGATTTAGGTTTAATGCAATTTGTTTCGCTCTAGTTTATTTAAGCTTTTCACAAAATATATGAATATTATGAGGAGGAGGTACTGTAAATCTAAAAGCCCAAACTAAGATGTAAGGATTGATAAGATATAACCGATATCACTAGTAACTACTATTTCGATTACTAGGATATAGAGTAAAGCTTACACAGTAATCACGATGTTAAAAAATGCCAATAAAAACCGCACTAAAATGAAATCATTACGATTTACATGAGTTCAGCGTATACTCATAAGAATTTGCTATGCATATGTAAACCGCCGTCATATACATAATTTAGTTCGCATGACACATCTATTTCCAAATGTTGTTTCTCGGCTCTAGCTCTGGCTCTTTCTATCTATTGCGTCTATTTTTGGAAAAAAAAGACGGTCTATTTCAACAAGAAACGTGCTAGTTCACTTGTATTATCTACTGCTTCCGTTTTCAAGCATCCATAGCTTTAGAACGAGCCTGCACTTCCTGGACTAGAGGTTAAAGAACTCAGGATCTTGGGTATTAAGTGGGACTACAAATTTGCGAAGGGGAGAGTGGGAGAGGGCGATGTAATTTAATCGTTATTTGATGTTTTTCGAAGATTTTGTGGGTCACGCAGAGAGTCAACGGGGCACACTTACATGTATGTCATTTATAAGGTGTTTTTTTGTGGCCAATTTACAAGAAAATATTTTAAATTCTAAATTTATCCAGGACATTGCATGATATTATTCAAAAAGCTCTATATCATTCACTGTATACCTTTAAGTAAGCAACACAACAACAATTACGATTGAGATGTTAATTAAATCTCTGAAATAGTTTATAGTTTAACTTCAATAGTTGCGTATCTTTATATTAAATGAACATTCGATAACATTTGATGTATTCTACAATTATGTTCTGATTTGTTGTAACTATTAAGATACTCTACTTCAAACAATTAAGTAAAATCAAATAGGTGGTAAGATATGTTTTGTGTGGCTTGTTCGGCTTTATAATGGTTGAACAATTCACAAGTTGAATACACGATCAGCAAAAAATAATTTGATTTTTGTTTCCTTGCAAAAATAATGAAAAAACAAAATTTAATGAAACTCCGTTGTGGTACAAAATGGTTATAGAGTTTTCCGAAGAAAAACAAAACTTTCTGAAATTACAAATGTTTGCACACAAACCGCAGCTGTAGAATTGATTTTATAGTGTGTATCTATAGAAACAAAACATGACTTTGTTCTTTTAAAGTTAATGAGATATTGACATCATGCGGCATCACTAAAATGTGCTGATAGCGTTCCAGTTCGTGCTGCTTGCCTTCAAAATGAAACACAACAATGGAAGGGGAACAAATCCTAATGAACTAAATCAACGGTCAGTACCAACAGAGATTAAACAATATAACTTTTCCCTTTGGCGCAAGAAAAGCGGTATATTATTATCATGACTTCATAACTCGCTGGCGAGTGCTCAAGCCGGTCCAAAGAGTTATTGGGGGAATGTGGCCAAAACACTACAAAACCCACGCGGGGAGATTCGGGCCGCGCGGACAGAGGCAATTACTCGTTTAAATCCCTTTGCTCTAATAGCATAACGTGGTTACGTAGGCTAGGCGCCTTCGGGATTCGTGGTGTAACTGGAAAATCATATCATATTTCATAATTTCAGCGGATATTTTTTTCTTCTATTTGGCGAGAGAGACACCCAGGGGAAAATGATATGCTTGTTATTTATGGAATGGCCCTTGAAGCTGTCTGTACTACACGCAATTAAGGTTTATATTGCTGTTGATATTTTGAGTTTTGGGTCACACATGCATGGTAGATGATATAGTGCAAAATCATGCTCAAAACTTCAACAAAGGGAATTGTATCGCGTGATGTACAGCTAATAAATAAATGATTCATACCCGTTGGAAATTAGATGTGTTTATTGTGACTACACCATGAAAGGTGGACTGATTGAATTAGGCCTATGCTGGATACTTTTACATGACAGCTTTGATATGTCACATTCTCAAAAAAATTAAATCGGGACGAAATCAATTTTAACATTTACTTTAAAAATTACACAAATTGTTTTGGGTATGAATGATTTAATTGTTAACTGAATCATTTTTGTTTGCTTGTTTTATATTTATTTTAAAAGGACCAACATTGTAGTAAATAATATCCCAATTCAAGAAGTGAAAACGAAAGGATGATTATGATAATGATTGTGATGATATATAATTATATGCTTCCATTTCAAGATAAATAAAAACAAAAAATGCTACATTATAAACAAAATATTAGCGAGGCTTCTCGTTTTTTTAAATATTTTTTTTTATACCAAATCAATCACTGGCCATGCTACGAGAACATACTCGTGGCAACTCAAATGAAGAACCAAGAATTGAATACAAAAAATATGCCAATATGCTGTCTTTTTTTCTCTCGATAATATCAAACAGTAAGTTTGTTCATTCATTACTTAAATATTCTTGTTCATAATCACGAAATGAATATTCAATTTATTTATTCATTATTGTGTTGGTGTAAGCAGTCATGCAGTAGAGGGGTCCGCGTTTACATCAATAGCAGTGATAAAAGTGAGCATAGGTATTTTTACATTTATATTAAAAACATATGTGAATATATTTTGAGAACCCAATATATTATAAACAAAAATACCCGTGATAAAAATGAGCATAGGTATTTTTACATTAACATTAAAACATATGTGAATATATTTTGAGAACGGAATATATTATAAACAAAAATACTGTATATAAAAATGAGCATAGGTTTTCTTTAAATTAACATTAAAAACATATATGAATATATTTTGAGAAGGCAATACGTTATAAACAAAATGACAAATACAAAATATTGTTCCCTCCCTCGATCAACCGAAGAGGGGAGGGGGGGGGGGGCATTATTTGCCCCTACCTCATTCCCTCTTCTGTCGAGTACATCATGTGAATGGTAATATTTCTTCTACAGCTCACGAAGTCTCTCTAATTGAGTTGTCAAGATTAGGACACTCCATTTTGTTCCCTTAATCCTTCTCTGATTGATCACTTCATGTTCTCCTCATATACCCTTTCCAATTTCCCCCCTCCTATTTTTGTTGTCATTGTCGGAATGTTTGATGTATGCTGGAGTCGGTTATATCGCAATAATATAGCGAGCGCAAGAGCAATGAGATCGACGAAAAATTGGACATATATGAACTTTATCAGAGCATTCCTATCAAACGTCACGCTGGGGATGATATGTATTTTCTCCACGCACGCAATCATTTGGAAACATTCAGTAGAGTTTCATTTCCCTGAAATGTACATGAGTGTAAATTCACAGTTTAGGGGGCATAGTCAAAAGTAATTACTTTAATGTTTGAAGAGAAAATCAGGCCTGTAAAACAGCTGAATCCGTTTAAAAAGAGGATTTATTATCACTAACATTTTTTTCTTCAAGCGAATTCCACTATTACATTATGTATGTTTTAGCGTGGATTTCTAAAAAAATAACTGATTTTCGATAATCTGCATTAATAGTTACCAATTAAAACAATATGTTTCATCTTACACACTGAGGTCAGCAATGCTCTACAGTACTCAAATTTCTGTTTTTCTTATTGTTTGTTGTGCAAATTAACTTCATTACATTATGTCAAAAAGTAACGTACACTTATGCTGATACTGACACGGAAAAACATATCTAACAAATCACAGCAAGGCTTCTTTTGACATGTGCAAAAACTGAAGAAAAATCTTGAAGTGTAAATAGCTGTTTATATACTGGGATAATAATAACATTGGTAGAACGAAGGAGTAGGCACGTTTAATGTCATACCGAGAAGCGTGTTTACGGCGTCCCTAAATGTTGACAAGTAATTTGTTAAAGACATTTTCTTTGGCAGGTTTGATACGATGTTAAATCCTGTCTTCAAGCATGCATGATTAACATTGATATGTATAGGAGTTGGAATATCAACTAGATGACAGACTGACATTTAATAGCTGCAGAACATAACTGATAAACATAAATAAACAAAGCAGTAGATGGGATATTGGTGAATTAGTAGGGCGAACTTGAGATGTGATTTCGTTATATAAAATTACCTGGTCAAATTACATTTAAATGTAAATGTTTAAAACACTTATTTTTATCTACGACACGCGTATCATAAGACATAAAACTAATTTGGATAAGAAATTACATATTCATTCGTCATCGTTTGTCTGGCATGCCTGTGCCCGATCTCTGCAAGATATAGACACACTAATCTCACTAGATCGATTATTGTTAGTCCTACTCCCTGTAGGACCTAATAACATATTGTTAACACTAAAAATGTATAATCATTGACTTTGAAAAATAGAGTAAGTTCCTCTCTTGCTCAATTACTTTTATGGTGAGACTGAGGGACATGAAATGAGTGCTGTGAAAAAAGCCTTGGCAATTGTTATAATATTTGTTCCAATTTTGTTATATCTTCTAACACAGATTTGGTTCAAGAACCGGCGAGCAAAATGGAGGAAACGAGAGCGGAATCAAATGAATGAGTTAAAGAACGGTCTTGGTGCGGGTTTCAACGGTCTCATGCAACCTTTCGACGATGGTCTTTACTCAGGCTACTCCTACAACAACTGGGCAGCAGCGAAAACAGCCAACCCACTCGGCTCGAAGAGCTTCGCGTGGTCGCTGAACACGGTCAATCCTTTGTCGATGACGAGTCAACCGATGTGCTTCAACCCGCCGACAACTATAAGCTCGACCTTCTCCGCCGCGACGCCCGTCAACGGCGTCGGACAGCAACTGAACTCTTTAAATAACGCCGCCGCCGCCGCTGCTGGGGCGCCCGGTTACCCATACGCCTCGGCGCCGGGTGCACCGGCGTACGTGTACAGAGAGCCTTGCTCAAACAGCATAGCATCGCTACGACTGAAGGCTAAGCAGCACTGCGAGAACATGACTGGAGTCAGTTACCCGGTACCCCAGAGTTCGTCTCTCTCGGCATGCCAATACTCCGGTTTGAACGGAACGATGTAGATAAAATAGCAGAATCATTTTAACCCCACTACTTATCTAATGCTTTACCCATCCTCTCACAATGTTATGATCGGCTCCCAAGTATGGCTTGCGAGAACTACGTTGCCTTCCGTAGGCCGCTGTGGAGATTAAAACTATTGCATCGTGGGTATTACGATAGTTGCCGGAAGGTCATCATTTGGTTGTCATGACAACCCGAAGGAGATTCAAACATTTGTCAATATTTATGTTTCTCTCATAAAAAGTATTGTGGTTGCCAGCTTATTACTATATCTCTGGCAATACAGGTTTTCTAGAACTGTAGTTTTTGCGTTATTCTATTAGTATAACCATGACAACAGCAAATAAACGATTTCTTATTCGGGGAGAGTTGTCCGGGGTAGTCCATGGGCTAGTTGTTATTTTAATGAAGAGTAAATTTAAAAAGAAAGTCTAAATTAAGTAAATGATATACATCAGGTTAAAACTAGATGAAATTGTAATATTTTTCGAGAAATATATAAATAGATGTAAAGGCCGTAGTGGTTAGTGAAGGGGCATCCTACAAACATCTCACATATAGACATACTTATGATATATTCCTACTAATAGGATTACTTTCACTAATATAATTCTGAAAAGGTTGTGCTTATTTAGTAGAGATAACACATATAAACCAAAATAATGTTGATAAGGTGTCAAAAAGGACGAAAAGCGAATTTAATAAATCTTACTATTCTCATAATCAGTATGTGTCATGTTCTGAAAACTGCCATAATGATGCCCGATTTGCAATATTGTTTCACGTTAAATGTTTCTTTATAACCAGTGTATATGTGTACACCATTCTGGTGTTTATTCGGCGTTGCTTTCTATTTTTCTCTAGAGAAGTTCATTTAAAATGTAATACAATTTCATTACTGTCGGTTTCTACCCTACTATAATCTTCAACGATGCTGAAATATACAAATTAAAATACTTTTTGAAATATTTGAGTAATGCTGTTTTTCGGCATTTCCCCTTCAATTACCTGAGATTTACAACCGTCAAACAGAGGACCATGCATTACTCTCTATTCAGTATGCATTGCAACCATAGACCACGTTTAGACGGTCTGAAGTCTGTTCCAAACACATTTAACGTGTGTTTAAATCCCCACTGCACTAGTTTGGCCAGGAGGAATAGACCTCCCTGCATGGTCACGGACAGGTGGTTATCTCATCAAATAAGCTCTCAATTAACATTTTAAAAGGGATCATGGGGGACCAATGGTCACCGATTAGGCATTGTTTGCTATATAGAGGGCGCAAGTAGCTATAAGTAGTGCAGTGGGGCTTTAAAAACGTCATCTATGGTATCCACTGATTAAATCATTGGACAACCAAGGTAGGCAAGGGGCTACAAACTTTATGAAATCATGGGAAACGATAATATTCATATACGTTGCTATTCTTTTTCTACTCCACCGAGTGAGATAGGATGACGAAAGATACAAAATAATGAACTATTCATGTCATCTCGTTAACTCTCAGCATTATGTTTAAAGTTGATTGATTTTCTCTTCTCACTAGGGTAACGCTTTTTTCACTTTGTGATATTCGATGCTTAATTGGATGAATATGGTGCCTTTTATAATGAGGGTTTTTACATTGTCACCTAAATATTTATTCCATATCTTGCAGTTTTCATGTTTCCTATGATTACGTAGTTGTTCTTTTATATTACGTGAAGGTAAATTGTATATACTCCAGCACCGAAACGTCACACCCTGTTTCCAAATTGACCAATGCTTGTATCGCTTATCCTATACGTTTAGTCCTGTCATTAACATTATGAACAATATTTTGGAGCTATTATGAAAAATATATAGAAATTACTTCTAAGTAAGCATTCACAAAATATATGACAATCGACTATGACTGTATAGGATTGCAGAATTTTAAAATTACCTTTTTTCATACCATTGTCAATTTCAACCCCAAAATACAAATATTTGTAAAACAGTACATCGCACTGCACCGAACTTCACATAAGAAGCGAAAGTAGTGTATTATAGTCCATAGCTGTACATACAATGTTTTTGCATGTAAGAATGAGTTTTAAACATTGCTTTTAGAGCATTATAAACAAGCACAACACGACATTTTCGGTGTTATTATGGTATATGACATGTTTGCTCAAATACTGTATATACGTGTATAAATTCATAAAAACGTGAACGTCGAAACAATATCACTTGATAAATACAACAATTATCTGGCCTCTTTTGTTTTTGTGATGTTGCAATTCAATGAATCCAATTGATTGATTTATCGATTGACTATTATATTGATATTTGATTGATTGATTGATGATTTGTTTATTTATTAATTTTTATATTCATTTATTTATTTATTTATTTATTTATTTATTTATTTATTTATTTGTTTACTTATTTATTTATTTATTTATCTATTTATTCATCTTTTATTCCTTAATTTCATATTATTTTACTTCTTTTTATTTGTTTATTTATTTAATTATTTGCCTTATATGAATCAATCATTATATCCATTCAAATCAAAGAGAGATAGACAAAGTGAGATAGAGAGGGAAGATAAAAAAAATAGAGAACATGTGTGTGTGTGTGTGTGTGTGAGAGAGAGAGAGAGAGAGGGAGAGAAAGTGGACACATTGTTAGAACAAAGAGAAAGAAAGTGATAACAAAAAACTGTTTTAAAACTATAGAAAGAAAAGGACAGAATGAAAAATAATGATAGAGAGAGAGAGAAAGAGAGAGAGAGAGAAAGACAGAAAGAGAGAAAGAGAGAGAGAGAGAGAGAGTTAGAGACGGGGAAAATCGGCTTGCCGTTGAAAGGATCCTGAAATTAAGCCTACGCATTCTACACCAAATTGGAGCGGATCAGAACGTATGATCGAAAAGCCGAGAGCTAGGAGGATTTCGCTTTTGTCAAATATTGATTATTTATGTCAAGATATCGCTCTAAAGTGGCATCAATAATGTTGTTTTTATCGAATCCCTGTTTTGAGAGTTCGAGGATTAGCCAACCCTGGAAATTCGCAATCCCTGAGTGCGCCAGGTTTTCCTAGCTTATAGAATGAATATATAATCAGTTATAATAGATAATGAGAAAGGGGGAACGAGACATGTGTATTATAGGAACAGGCATCAGTGATTTCAATTGCTTTATAATCAACCTTCAGTGCTTTATTTTCAATCCTGGACCGTACATGTATAAAAACATATTTTCACTTTCAATATGGAATTTAGATTAAGATTTTACTTTGCCTCATTATATTCGTGAAATCGGACAAATCAATACAATTTTAATTTTTATAATAATATGAAACATACTAACGTTAATTAAGTGCTCGACCAGAATTGGTTAATGTGCCAGTTACTTCAGGCTACGTCCCTCGGGAAAAACCTCGATCCCACAGAACTCGAATTAAGGCCGCCTATATGCTCCTTTGATACCCCTCAACTTTGAGTTACTTTTACTGACTTCTTAAATGAGAAATGACAACGTTTTACTTTTTTTATACTTATTTTTGTTTTTATTTATTTTTGAGGTAATATCCTTGCATCTATTTTTTTAAATATCTACATAAGATGTTTTAATTTTTTTGTTCTTTTGATGGATTATTTATTAGACAGAATTGCCAATTAAATAGATAATACAGGTCTATTATGGGAAGAGTAATAATGTCATAAAAATCCGCCTATCAGCGATAAGTCGCGTCCGTCACAAAATGACGCCATTTTTTTTATCCAGGGAGCCGAATCTCTATCCCGCCTCAGCTGTTCTAGCAAGGGGGTAGCTCCCATCTTAGCTAGCTGTCCGCAAACGCAGCTGAACTGTGAAAGCTAGTAACTTGGCTGGCTTTACACAAAGAGATTTCGGTAATCAAACCAGTAAAATAGTAAAAAATTATCGCTCCCCGACGTCACGGATGAAAAAAGTAATCAAGGAAAAGGAGTTGCTCATCTAGTAGAAATATGTTTCTATGAGAGATATTTTTTTAAACAACAACAACATTAATGACCATGATGATGATGGTAATGATAATAATAATATTAATAATAGTGATTATAATAGTAATGATGATAATAATAGTAACAAAAATATTAATAGTAATAATAAGAATAATGATGGTGAAGATGGTGAATCATACTAATCTAAATTATCACGGTCACCAGCCGTATTTTACTACTTCGCAATATATACACCATCCCATTGCCAATAGATAAATGCAGCACTTTTCACTAGCCCGACCACAAGACAGCGGTGGATCCAGGATTTTCAATGGGGAAGGGGGCAGGAGGGGGGGGGGGGGGGTCAAAGTCAACGTGTATGTGTAGCACATTATTAGCACGCACGCGCGAACCTTCTGGGTGGGGTCCAGCAGGGGATCATCATAGGGTCCTGCCGGGGGTCCTGGGGCGCAGCCCTGGGTACTCTCGATATTGTTTTGGCTATTCAGAACCTTCAATGTAGCCGTCTCGAGCGATAGATAAACACACTACCCTCGGACATTTTTATACAACAAGGTTTGTCTTGGGAACTACTTTTATCTTTACGGATGGGGTCCAGTAGCACGCTTTGGGGGCGCCCTGTGGGTTGCTCTCGAGTTTTATCAATTTAGAACCTTCAAGATTGTAGCGTCTTGAGCGATATCATTTCTAACTCAGAAGTTGCACTGCCCCAATTGTTTTATCTCGTTGGAAATACATCCCACACACACACTTTCTCGTAAGGAAAAAATTATAGACCAAAGAATTGTCTTGGAAACCACTTCTGTCTTTACAGATAAGGTCTAGGGGTCTGCCCATAGACTCCTGTGTAGGGCGGATCCCTCTCGAGTTTTAGAAAATTAAAACCTTCAAGATAGCCATCTCGAGCGATATAAACTTTAATGTGTCCTTGCAATTGAAATCAGTTCTCTCTCTCTCTCTCTCTCCTTTTTCTTTCATTTATCTTTTTCTCTTCTACCTTAACTTTTGATTATTTTCTCCTTTTTCTTCC